CCGCAATAAATAAGCAATCGCGAACAAACAGCGGCGGCACTACCAGGGTAGGGGTGGGTTTCAGGCTGGTCACCTGGCTCCTGTCTAAAAGCCGCATAAGCCCAATGACGGTGTCGTAGCAAAGGTCGCTGCGACTGGCCTCTTAAAACTTAAGTCATTGACCCTCTCTCTTCCGAAGCGAGGGATTACTTCCTGCTGCCTTGCAGTTCGCACTTGGTTGTGCCAAGGCTAGAGATGCGCCCTCAAAATGAAAAACGCTGGAGACGTCTCTCGAACCAAACTTAAAAAAAACTTCATGATCATGATCATGATCATTTCTGGAGCCGGTTCATCCTTTCCAAGGAGCCAGCCGAAGTAAAGTATGATGGCTGAACGGAACTGGTGATGCTGAGCAAACACTTATGTTGTTTGGTGGTGGTGGGCGTTGTCATCTTTAAACCCTGGAAACATCTCATATGGGGGGTACAAACTTAGAAGCTCCAGGCGAAGATTCACCGACAACCAGTCTAATAACGAGATGCTCAGGGAACTAAGCAAAACCACCACTACCTCACTGCCTGCGTTGCAAATGTCGACTGCAACACTCTTATCTAAACAAAGTGAAACTCGGACAGTTTTGCCGCACCTAGCCCAACGATGCCTTATGTAGTTCTCCACTCGAGGTCTCGGGGTCTGAGCTGCCGGTTTCCATGAGCGAATAGCATGTCCCCATGACTATGGTATTAACTCAATCTTTTGTTTAACACACAAACATGCGTAACTAAAAAAAGTGTGTACTAACAGGAACTTCGAGCTCTCTCTCACTCAATAAACAAGATGGCGGAGTGTCTGCTAACTCAATGAAAAAATTAACCAGCGTTGATGATATCCTGCATGAATATTTATTTGTTATCCGAATATATTCGGGATGTATTTTGGTGAGTTTCCTCAAATGTTGTAGTAATCTATGTCTCCTTAAAGTCGAAATAATGTTTGTCACGAACCAGATGAATTATTGTGGAAGACCTTGTTCAAAACTAACCCGCACGCACAGTTCTGGGCAAAGTTCAACAATGTGAAGGTAAGCCAGCATGATCGAGGACAAGGGACACGGGGAACATGGTTT